GAAAGGTTGAGTAATTTTACCAAGGAGAATGTTATGTTTGCACTAGATGTTTGTCTTGGTCAAATTCAAAAGATGTCATTAACATTGGTATTAAATCAAAAGCCTAATGATGGCATTAACATTGGTATTAAATCATAACAAAACTAGTGAAAACCTCTAAACAATTCATATTTTACCTTCCTCATATGCATCCCTGGCTTTCTGAATGTTCCACACAATGATGTAATCCTGAGCTGAGCTGACGAGCAATGGTGGACGAGGTTGTGACCCTAAGCAAAGGCAACATATAGGCTTGCCATGCCCAATTAACTCCAGTGGCTGGTAATAAACCAGAAAATGATCTTAATTTATAAAGCACATTATCTAGGTCAAATTACAAGGCTCAAACAAATACGAGATACAAGATAAAATTTATTGTCTGCAATAAAAATGAAAAGTTCGCAAAAAAGTACAATTCAAAGAAAATCACATTAAAATTATCAAGGATAAAGAGTATCAACATCAAAATTTCAATAAAAACCATTGACAAAAGCACAAAAGCACAGGGAATAAAATAAGAAAGTATAAAAATGACTAAGCTAAAAGACAAAAAATGAAAGCAGAAATGATGAAAAATACAGCATAAAGCCTGTTTTCCACTAGGCGAAATTATTTGCGCGAATCGAAAACATCAGTTCATGCGCATTCACATTTCTATCGCGTTTTGTGCTTCAGTGAAATCAGTAGTTCAAACCAATCAGAGCTCAGGAAGCAAGTCGACGCTTTCGATTCGGACGAACAAATTCGCCTAGAGGAAAACAGGCTTAAAAAAGTGAAGACCATGAGATCAGAGAGAACAGTAAAGGATGACAAGAAATGTAGAGGTTGAAAGACAAGTAGGAATACCGTACCTTAGATGAAATACTCTGCAAGCTCCAAACGCCTACTGATGTTCTTCCCAACGGAAGTGCGACATATGTGCCATTGCAAGTCAGCTGAAGGTGAGAGGGCGGGCTAGAGGTTCTCATACTCCACTCATGAGCAGCCATATTGCTTTCTATGGAAACAATTAAATACAATTACTTAAATCTATCAATGTTCCGATGCACTCAAAATCAAAATCACAACGATCTTTTGATGTTTACTTTCAGAAATATGGGGAAATATAGTTTTTTTTTTGGCCACGGAGAGGTAAACAAGAAGCACTGCCTATTGGTGGCTGTACATATGTCGCAATTTTGCCGCTAATTCTTAACTAGAATACAAATAACTA